AATGTTTTTTCTAATCTTTTTTTATGTATCCCAAAAGGTCATATCACGATACCGTATTGTATTGTAATCTAATTTGACTTTTGTTAAGTGCCTTTTGGTTCGCACATGGTAGAACACTTGAGTTTGAATATATAACATGCGCTCTTTTATGCCTTAATCAAAAGACAGTAGTCTGTAATCTGTAATCTGCTCATTACTGTCTATGAGAGAGAAGACGCTGCAGAAGTCTGCTTTGCTTTGCTTTAGCTATATCATGCACTTTTAACTATGTCTGATTAGAGATTCTCCGGAATAACTATGAACTGGACAAAAAGAGAGAATCTGAGGACCATTTAAATAATATTTTATCAATGACTAAAACAAACCACCCAGAGTATGAAACATTGTTTGTCACTGGATTCTCAGGCTTTAGGCTCATCGTTCAATTTCTGCACGTTTGGTTCTAAGATGAAATTAGCAGGCTCCAGAGAATGACTTTGAACAAACTTTTTCTTTATTTATCAAAAGCAATCATTTAAAATTCCTTGAAATTGTTTTATTTAATTAATGGTAAAGGAGGTCGCATCACATATCTAAAGTAAATTAAATTCCTCAATCCTGTCTCTTTATTCTGGGTTCTACGTTGCTTAGGTTTTGACGATTAAAGAAAATATATATGATCGAACCGAATAAAGAAATTAAAAGGTGATTGGTCACTAATAAACAGAACAATTCTTCTGTCATCCTTCACATAATTATGCAATCTTAGGTGTATGTATCTGATCAGTGGAAACAATAAAGAACAGCCTTTGGTATTGGACTCCGTAAAACTTGGGTTTCTTTCTACCTTGTTTACATAATGGTTAAATGATGTGTCATAACTTTTGCATATTATAAAATGACATTCTAAGGGAAAAAAGGGAACCCGGTATTGGACATTTATTGCTTCTGCAATACTCTCAGAATGCTTGTTTTCGTTATTATAAAATTTAATTTCTTTTATCCAATTCGACAATTTTTTAATAAATGGGCTTCCGTATTCTTACAATCAAATTTTCAATATTTTTTAATCAAAGGAGGTGCTATTGATAACCGTTAAATTTCAAAGAAATCTTATCATTTTTTATTACATTAATCGAAGGGCGTATGACGGAATTGTAAATATTCTCTAGTCAAAATAAATTGAATCGACCTGAAGACAAAAATCTGTTTCTTGTCAAAACTACACATGCAAAACTGAATTTCAACAAATCCTTTCTCATGAAATTATATTTACAAATGTTTATATATTATATATGAAATTTATCGTACCAGTACCTGTCTTCTACATTGTTTCTCTAACAATGTGAAAGGTGGAAAATGCAATTAAAATTTTATAAAGAAAAATTAGCAGCAATACTCTGATATAATTAATACTTGATATATCTAATTTCAATACGCAGTTACTTAAAGACATAAATAGAACTTCCATATTAACAAAAATAAAACAAACGTTTTGTAACTAGTAAACAGAATTTCTGCATGTCTTTAAGTAACTTTCTAACATTTCAAATAAGTTGAAATAATATATAATGACAGTCATAATCAATACATATTCTTTTACTCACATTACATTTTAATGACTTAAATGTATAAACATACATATAAATAGCACTTGAAATCTGATTAAATACATTATATATAACCATCTTTAGGGGATATTCATTAAAGAAGCTATGTGCACGTGAGTCTTTCTTTCTCATTGTGAATCAAAATACTTTTTTTATTTAACAGTAGCTTTTTAGTTAATTTGTCAATTTAATGTTTTCAACATTGATCACTTGTCATAGATCACTGATGAATTTGAATTCATATTTTTAATATATACATGTATATGTTTCAACAGCTTCCAGTTTTTGAAACTTAATCTTGTAAGTTTTCTGCTAACTGGAGCGAATGCAGATTCAGACACAAAAGATTTCCTGAGGAAATTCAACACGTGTAATGAAGTGTGTCGAGGAATGGGCTTCAAGGGGGATAACTGTGAGGGACGTGAAAGAGGTAACGTTTGCATAAAAATATGAGGTGCAGACACGTAGCATAAAAGGGAGGGACTTTTTTCCCAAGCACTACATTTTACAGTTGAAAATGTTCATTAATTAATAGTTTCAAAAACCATACTACGTATCTCAATTACGAATGATTATAGTTACATAATCCTATAAATAACTAAATAAATTAAGAATCGAAGACCTAGTGCAAATTCTCTCTCTCTCTCTCTCTCTCTCTCTCTCTCTCTCTCTCTCTAATAATTAAAATTCTTATCATATATCACATCGTTGAAAAAGAAAACTTTACGTTTGTCTGAAAAAGTAGCTAGCCTGTAAATAAACCGACATAAACATTCACAATTGCTTATCTTTCTCCCTATAGCAATAATTTCATTTCATGCCCGAATGGCAAATGATCAACAAAACCTCGGAAATAATGCCGTGGTTGTATTTGGAAAAGTTACAGAAAATTCAGGATCCGCCTATAATGGTAACACAGGGAAATTCATGGCACCTCGGGATGGAATCTATTCATTTACATGGACAATTCTGACAAAACCTGGAAAGGTATTTGTCACCAATATTGTTCTCAATGATACAAGGAATGTCATTGGATACAACAGCGTGGACGGAAAAACAGGGAGTCAAAATTACCCATCAGGATCCGCCACAACCATTATAAAAATGAAGAAGAATAACAAGGTCTGGATAAAAACGCACGGGAAAGCAGGGGAATTCGCTTACGCTCATTGGTCTTCATTTTCTGGTTTTAGATTGTCATAATTATTTTTTACAGAATGATAATAAAAACATATGCTTGGATTTTGTAGTATTTTTTTCTAGTTGACAAATGCTGTTACATATCTATAGTTCCTGATGCTGTATAATTAAATCCACCAGGATGCAGAAATCAAAACCTTGATAGATTTATTGAACATGCTTAGAAATTCACAAATAGTATGTTTCTTTAAAACTGAGCTTAACACATCAATGAGAAAGGTGAAGTCAATGTCAAAAGAAAGGTCAAGGTGAATAAATTTAGAGTACGTTAAAACAATACTCAGTTAAATATCTCTCTTCAATATGTACCACCATATGAATTTGAAAAGTTTCTTTGAAACTGAACAAAACACAAGCACAAAAAACACAAAAGACAGGTGGAAAGAACATGGGAAACACTATTCGCACTAAATACCGGTAAATCGGGTGCATTTAAATTACGCAGCTGTTTGTTGTCAAAAATACACTATACAGAAAACTAAATTTTAACAACCTCCTTCTTATGATCTAATTTTACAAGTGTAAATTATGATAATTTTATCGTATTAGCACCTATATTTTGTTTCTTTGAAATAAATTTTAATAGATAGCCGCATATTAAACTAGAGGTAATGTGAGCACTGAGCTCATTGAATGATATGCCCCGCTTTCAATATGATTACTAGTATACATGTAGTGGCAAGTTCCAAATTGGAGGTGCACAATGGCATTTTGTAATTAAGGATCTGAAAAAGTGTCATTTATTTTATTCGGTGGCATAGGAGGAGTTGTGGATATGAGATGGGTACCCTTCAATATTATAGAATGAATGGCAGTGTTCATGTTTTGCTATGGGAAACCCAACACATGTGTCCGATCAAAAAGTCAATTATAAGGTGCAAATTTGCACTATGTGAAAATGATTCCGTAAATCAGTGGTATTTCATAAAATTACATCAGTTGAATAAGAGGAGTTGTGGATAACATATTTGTACCCCCATAGAGTAACAGGCAGACGTACAGACGGATGGACATCCCGACAACTATCTACCCTTCCTCTTTATATAAATATAAAGTACATGTATTAAATATATAATACATATAATCAATACAGGTATGTACATATATACGCAGTTACTTTAAGACATGAATAGAGTTTCTTAAATTCTTATGATTCACTTGATCATGTTATTAACAATAACTGAGTGAACACTTTCAAACAAATACATGAAAACAGAAAATTATTTTTTATATAAGTTGATGTGATTTCTAACATTTCAAATTATTGAAAAATATATCAGGACAATCATAATCAATACATATACTTCCACTCAAATTATATTTTAATGATTAAGTAAATATACATACATATAAATAATACTCAAATCTGATTAAATACGTTATTTTTACGATCTATAGGGGAAATTCGTTTGAGAAGTAATGTTCAAGTGAGTCTTAATTTGTTACTTTTAAAACATTCTTAATTATATATCTTCTTGTTTCGTTTTAAAAGTGTTTGAAGCTCTTTAATTAATTTGTAAAATTTAATCAATCTTTTTATTATTGATCAATTGCAATAGACTACTGATGGATTTAAGTACATATTTCTAATATAAATTTGAACAGCTTCCAGTTTTTGAAACTTATTCTTGTAAGTTTCCTGCTAACTGGAGCGAATGCAGGAGCAGGCACAAAAGATTTCCTACAGAAATTCAATATGTAAAACAAAGTATGTCGTGGAATAGGCTACAAGGGAGAGAACTGTAAAGGACATGAGAGAGGTAACATGTTTGTCATAAAAATGATGTACAGGCATCAGAGATGGGAGATTCTCACTTTTTCCAAGCAATACTTTTTACTGTTGAAAATGTTTATTGAAGGTCCCCCTTTATCGTTGAAATAAAGGATGTTTGTCAGTTTTTCAGGTTAGATTAAAAAAAATATCTGACTCCTACATTTTCAAAAAGATGTTAGACTTACCTCATGTATGAAGTAAGAGTGATTATATTCATAATCTTATTAAAAATTAATAAACTGAGAATCAAAGACCTACAGTTCAAAATTTCTTCTTCTCTCTCTCTCTCTTTTAAATCGAATATTTTGAAAAAATCTGAGCCTTATTAAGACCGTTGAAGAAGATAACTTTTAGTTTAAGATTGTCTGAAAAAAAATTAGTTAACCTGTGAATAATATAACAAAAACATTCACAATGTCCAGTTTTTCTTCAAATAGCAATAATCTCATTTCATGCCCGGATTGCAAGTGATCTGCAAAACCTCGGAAATAATGCCGTAGTTGTATTTGGAAAAGTTACAGAAAATTCTGGATCTGCCTATAATGGTCAGACAGGGAAATTCACGGCGCCTCAGGATGGAATCTATTCATTTACATGGACCATTCAGTAGCTGGGAAGATGTTTCATACAAATATTGTTTTGAATAATTATAGTAATGTCGTTGCGTACAACCATGTCGACGGAAGGAGTGGAAGTCAGACTTTCTCTTCAGGATCCGCCACAGCCATTATAAAAATGAAGAAGAATGACCAGGTCTGGATAAAAACGTAAAGAAAGGAAGGGGAATACGGTTGCGGTATTAGGTCCTCGTTTTCCGGTTTTAAAATATCATGACTTGTAACATAACGATCATAAAAATCTATATGCTTGTATTTTTGAGAAGTGTTTTCTGGATGCCGAATACCTTGATGAATTTATTGTTTCTTCCACTAGTAAATTTAATCCATCAGGATGCAGAGATCAAAATATTGATAGATTTATAGAATATGTTTAAAAATCCCCAGCAGCATATGTTTATTTAAACCTAAATTTAGGAAAAAGAGGTTAAGGTCAAAGGTCAAGTAATTATCGATGAAGTCGAAAAGTTTTTATCGTAATGTACCAGCAAATAAGGTTTAAAAAAGTATCTTCAATAATTTATTCGAACATGAGCTATAAAACCCATTTAATTATCAAAAGGATGATCAAGGTCAAAGAAAAAAAATAGAAAATGCTGAAAATGTTGAATTGCTCTTTCCAAAATATACTTACATATGAATTATTCTAGACTGAAATAAAAAGGTATTAAATATATATTGGAGAAAAGTGAGATCAAGGTCAAAGGAAAGGGCAAAGTAAAAATGTTGATGTAGTTAATAGCTTTCATCAATATATAACGATGAAGTTTGATGGAAATGTCTTAAAACAGTTTCTTTGAAACTGAACTAAACACAAGTGTGAAGGAAGGTAGGGAGAAAACATGTCAAACACTGGCAATATGCACGTCGATTCAAAAATTATCATTTCTAGAATTATAGACGTATTACTTTGTCTTACCAATCAATGAAATAAGCTGCACATATAAATAAACGACAAATAATTTACCAGAAATCACACACACTAGTATAATTATCTCAAAATTCTTGTACATGCCAAAATTTGAAAATTTTTAGCCATGTATATCACTTTTATAAATAAACGCAGACGCTTTAATTTATATAAATAAGAGTCTCATAAACACACTTAAACTTTTCATATGCAAATCATATGAAGTTATTTTCATATGATTCACATATGTGAATCATATGTAAATCATATGATTAGCATCATATGATTCACATATGATGTCCTTTTTATGATTTTCAAATGAAACCAATCATATGATATACAAATGTGGATAATATGTGGGTAAGTAGCTAGGACTTGATGGCGTTCCATTTTCAAACTTCGTGTCTGTGGATGGCAGGGGTTGCCGTTACTGAAGAGGCTCTGATCTGCTTCAGGAATCTCAAAGACTAGGATCTTGTGTCCATGTACGGGCTTCGTGTCCGGGGACGGTATTGGTCAATTGAAGTGGTCCAGACACTCAGGGAGAATCTTGCTAAGCTTCGGATCGAAGCTTCCCTTAGTGGGGGAAGTGTAGCAGACAGTACTTAGGGATCTTACACTGCTGCGCTAGTGAGCTAACTTTTCTAGTGATGCGGTAGAGTCTCCCTCTATTTCAGGCAAGTTAAGCAATCCTGTTTCATCCCGGATGGGTGACCGCTTCACGTTACATTAACAAAGCCTGTACATTTTGAAATTGTTATTGATGACATTTTACCTCTGTGCAGTCATCATGAAACCCTGTATTAATCACTGGTCAAGCTGCCGCCTTCTTGCTAACAAAGGAAAGCTGATTGGTCTAGTAAGCAAAACACATTTTTGTCACCCTTGATGTATACAATCTTAGGTGTATGTATCTGATTAATGGGAACAACAGAGAACACCACTTTTGAATTAAACCTTTGTTTCTTTCTACCTTGTTTACATAAGCTTATAGGGTGTTGTGATGTGTCACTAAGATTAGCAGGTATCTTTAAGAACAGATTGCCAGGACTTGAAAATGATTGAAGCTGCAGACATAGAACATAGGCAAAAATACACATCTGTCTAACATTGTTCAATACAGGAATTGAATCTTCACTACTTAATGATGTAAACATATTTTCAAGAATTAACTATCTTAAACTGTTTGTTGGGTATGCCAGGGAGAAGCATGTTATGCAGGCACGTAGCAACAGGGGGGGCCTGCCCCCCCACTTTTTTCCCCAAGATTACCTTTACTATAGAAAAAGTTCAATTGAGAAGAGGGATGCCCCCCCCCTCCACTTTTTACCACAGTATATATATAGCAGGGAAATATAGGAAAAAATGAGAAAAAATGAAAGGAAGTTGGCCTTGAAAAAAGTTGGCTACTACCCCCCCCCTCTCCACCCCCCCTCTCCCCCCCCCCCACGTAATAGGATTTTTTCGAGTTTTGGCACTTTTTAAATATTCGTCGTTTTTTTTTTTTTTTTGCTTGTCAACTTTTTTTAGGTAAGTAAAATAAAATTTTCTCAGGTTGGCCCCCCCACTTTCAAAAACGATGCTACCTGCCTGTTATGCATAAATTACCGCACGTTTTCAGCTATTGTTGACGTCCCAAGTATACCCCTCAAAATAGACAGTAATTCTATACATTTCCATTTCATTGTGAAATAAAATTGTTAACCATGATTAAAAAATATTTCCTACTACTAATAGATATTAATAAATTACACTGTACGCCCCCACACCAATTTCAATAGTCCCTTCCAACTAATGTCTGACACAAATACAGCTCACGAGATTTACATGCGTATTATCCCTCAAAATGCCATCACAGAGAAAACAAATAGAAATGAAAATATATGGCATTAACCAAAGGCTTACTGTTTTTCAGAGGAAGATTTTTAAAAGCCCCCCCCCCCCCTTCAGGCAGATATTCAAATATTCATACTGCACAATTTAAATCTCTTTTTGTAGTCCACCATGTCATCATTGGCCATGATTTGAACAAACTCTAATCAATACTTCACAAGGAACTTTTTTTTCTAAGTTCTATGAGTTTTGAGAAGATTTTTATTGATTTAAACATACATGTATTTTAATGAAACATAATCAATGGGATTGGACACAAGCAATTCGAACTAAGATTGTCCTCACCAGCACAATAAAATGACAAAAATATATACACATGTTGTACAACCAACAAATTAACAAGTAATGGAATTCTTCAACCCTGGGTAAATTTTATAGAGAATATATTTCAATTTACATTGTGTATGTCCTTAAATGAACCAGGAAGTTTAGAGAATACGGAAAATTTTAATCCGTAAATAATTTAATAAAAAAATATATAATTAGTTTAAACGAATTTGGTTTATTATCGCAAATTTCAAAAATCGATTTAACGAATTTGATATTTTGTAATGAATTTTTAAAGTCATTATTTCGAATCTAACATATTTAATTCGTACAATTATAACGAATGAATAAATTGGTTTTACCCAATTCGACAATTCTTTCGATCTAACTTTTTTATTACAGAAATCAATCGGCGTTTGACGGATAATTGTCTCAACTCACTAAATAAATTAAATCAGTCTGAATTTACGTGCAACAACTACATGTCAAAAATCCCAGTATGTAAAACAATTTCAACCAATTCTTTCTTCCGATCATATATTTACAAGTGTGCATTATGATTGAATTTTATTGTACTTCATGTAGTTCCTATCCTTTGTATTGTTTCTCTGACGATCGAGAATGTGAGATGGGTGGATAATGAGCTTAAACTTTTATTTTGATGATACGTATAAAAGCTGCATATTGAAATATATATAAAACATATAATCAATACATATATGCATGTTTTTCAATACGCAGTTACATGTATTTTAAAAATGAATAGAATTTCTTATTAATTCAATTCAATTCATTTATTGACAACACCATCATACATTGGCATATAGTCATGAATACAATGATTAATATACATAAAATAAAATATCAAAGAAAGCATAATTATCAGGTTTGTTGAAGGTTTTCCTTACTAATATCCAAGCACTTTTTTCCAAAAGTTACATACTCTAGATCTTCTAGCAGTTTTAATACTTGTAGGGTTGATTATGTTAATAATAGGATTTTCTTTTATGTAACATTGAGCATTAAATATATCGTAATATTGTAATCTACATTGATCATAACTATGACAATAAAGTACAAAATGGTTTTCATTTTCAATAATTTTTTTTTACAAAAATGACGTACACGTTTTTCTTTAGGAATAGGTGGTCTTGAGTATCTCCCCATTTCAATATGTAGTGTATGAGCACGAATTCTTAGTTTTGTTAGGATTGTTCTTTCAATGGTAATTGTAGATAATTGTAGATAGTTTTGTAATTTAGATTCATTTAAATCAATTATATTCCTATAAAAAATTAATTTCCCAGAATTTAATTTAGAAATCTTCTTTAATTGTTCACTGATTTTGTTTCTGTAATGTTCCTCTTATTTATATCTTAAAGTTTTATGTGATTTGTCCGATATTATCAATTTAACAGAGTGAACATTTTGAAGCAAATAAACAGTATAATAAGTTATTCTCACATTTCAAATAAATAAAAAATATATCATGACAATCAAAATCAATACATACGTTTTAACTCAGATTACATTTTAACGTATGTACATACATATAAATAGTATTTGAAATCTCATAGAATACGTAATTTCGTAAAATCCTTAGGGGAAAACTATTTTGAGAAGAAATGCACACGTAAGCTTTACTTTTTCAAATTTAAAATATTGTCAATTAATATACATCGTGTAGACACGTACTAATCTTTTTTTTAATATAGTATTTGAAATTCATCGCTTGATGTTTGATTTTTTATATTGAAGAATTTTAATAGACCACTGATGAATTTGAGTAAACACACATGTAACAGATTGCAGTTTTTACGCTGATTTTTACAACCTTCCTGCTATCTGGAGTGAATGCAGGAGCAGGTACAAACGATTTCCTAAAAAAAATTCAAAACGTATAATGAAGTATGTCGAGGAATGGGCTTCAAGAGAGATATTAGTAACTGTCAAGGAGGAGATAAAGGAAACATAAATATACTTGTCAATCAAAAAATTAATTTTCCTTGGTGAAGGGTTAAAATAAAATCCAAATTCCAATGACAAACTCAAACTTTTATTTAAAACACTTTCGCCCATTCAGCCTTGCGGGCTGATGAGCCTGCACGGGGAGAAAGCGCTTTAGATAAAAGTTTGAGTTTGTCATTTGAATTTGGATTTTATACTTGTCAATACACATATTGATGTGCAGGCACACTTATGCTATTAAGAAACTGTGTAGAATATATATATTTAGTGGTAACAATCGGTACATTTGGAATATATTTTAAGTGCTGAAAATGCTAAAAAGCGCTGCAGTATTCACTTATGGTAGGTGGTACATGTTCAAATTCATTGAACAACTTTGAAAAATATTTGAACTGATATAACCAAACAAATTTAGACTGCACCACTGCTACTATCTTGAGCTTGTATTTTAGCAAAATACGAAATAAAGTTATCTATGATGTTTAATAATATTATAGCACAGGCATATTATACTAGTTTGTATTAAAATAAATTGAATTAAACAGAAGCTGCACTGGAATAAAGTATTAATCATGAATAAGTATATTTAAAAAACCAGCAATTTTCTCTAAATGCCTGGATACCTATTAATTTTATCCCATATACTAGTAGTAATTGTTGATCAATATTCAATTAGAAAATGCACGGCTGGTGCTTTTACTCCAATTTCCTAAAAATATATTTGAGAACAGATAATTTGTCAGATATAATACATATACGATTAACTATAACGATGAACGTTTTAAAAGAAGAAATAACATGGGTAAATACACGTTACTTATATGTAGAGAATTCAGAGAGATTATGGGAGCATTTATAATCAACCAACTCCTGATTTTCATTACCTGAGGATCAGGCTCCTTAAAAATAAAGAAACTGACATAGTGCATTTTCTAGCTTTTTATCTCAGTCTCGTTTTTAAAATCAAATCTTTTCTAAAAGTAAGTTCTAATTAGCTTAGCCCAAAATGTCTGAGCTCAATGCTCACAGCACCTCTGGTTTAAGTTTTAAATTGTCTTAGAACTTTATACATGTAGTAAACTTGACAACAAACTAACACAATTATTCATAAAAAAGACTTTTTTTTCAACAGCAATAATTTCATTTCATGCCCGAATGGCAAGTTATCTTGAAAATCTGGGAAACAATGTCGTAGTTGTATTTGGAAAAGTTACTGAAAAATTCTGGATCCGCCTATAATGGTAAGACAGGGAAATTCACTGCACCTCAGGATGGAATCTACTCATTTACTTGGACCATTTTAACAGCACCTGGAAGGCTGTTTAATACAAATATTGTTCACAATGATAATAGTAATATCATTGCGTACAACCAAGTCAACGGAAAGAATAAAAGTCAGACTTATGCAGCAGGATCCGCCACAGCACTTATAAAAATGAAGAAGAATGACAAAGTCTGGATAAAAACGTTTGGAGGAGAAGGGGAATACGCTTATGGTACTTGGTCCTCGTTTTCTGGTTTTGAATTGTCATGACTTTTAATGCAATGATAATAAAACACTATATGATTTGATTTTGTAGATGGTTTTTTTTCTGAATTACGAATGCCGTGATGAATCTATTGTTTCTCAGATACTTTACTAGTAAATTAAATCCATCAGGTTGTAGAGATCGAAACTTTGATAGATGTATTGAACGTGTTAAATTAACAATTACTAACATTTTTTTTTTTCAGAAAAAAAATTTAACAAGACAATGGGTAATCCATTGCAAGGCGTAACAATATGTATTTATCGACTCCTAGGGTACCCCTTAGCGAGTCATTTGGGATATCAATGTAATTGCCTTCTAGGGAATTCCTTAGTGGGGCTACTACCTATTATACGGAATAGGTAAGCCCTCTTTACGGAGTAAGTCAAATAAAATAACATTCGTAATACCGAATGCGGTAGGAGTTTACCAAATAGATCCCTCACACAAGCTCCTAGTGCACTCCATTGCAAGCCGGTATTGGCTCCTAGGATAGCCTTAGCGAGCCACTACATGCTCTACCAATCACTAAAAATAGATAATCAAACATAAACAATAATTTAAGAAATCATAACTAATGTCTCTACTTGTCTGACATATCCATCACTCAGAGAAGTTCATACATCTCTGCCACCCAACAAATAAAATTTAAGAGGAGATAAAAGTTTCTACGGCTGATTGTAAAGTGTTTGTTTTACGAGGTTTGTTCAAAAAATAATGATCTCTATGACATACAACACAGATATTATATGACATTAAGTTTGACTTTCTCTCTTGATTGAATCTTATTAGTTTATTTGGCCATTTTTAATATCATATTTTCATAAAAATTTCTAAAATGAGGTAAATTATCAACTAACAAGTTGAAACAACAATATTATCAGCAGTCTCGTTATCTCCATATACATCGAGAAGAAAAGCTGAAAAAAAAATTCAACATAAATAAATAGATGAATTATTGAATACTGTTCGTTATCTCCATGTCTTTCAAGAACAAAATATTTTCTTTCATTTTTAAGTTCTTTTATTCTTAAAAAGATATATATTGCCCAGTTATTGCTCATAGAAAGAGGAGACGTCGCAGAAGAAAAGCATCCGCAGTACTCAATGATGGCATCAAGCTTTACATCAAGTTTAAGTTGACAAGAATTTGGCAGAAGACAAAAAAATCAAAACTTTAATGACAACAATGACAAAAAAGTAAACGCTATTATCGCTTTCAGAAATGGCTTAAATTAATTTAATATGTTGTTATAAATTTTTGAAGTTGTTATAACGAATCCAACATATTTAGTTCATTCTAATTAATTAGAAAATTCATAAGATATTTTTACAGGGTTTCCATATTCTAACAATTTAATGTATTTAATTTTTGTTAAATCAGAGTAGGTGCTTTAGATAACTGTTCAATTTTGAACAAATTCTTTCTTACGAGCTAATATTTTTTATTACAGAAATCAAAGATCGTATGACACATAATTGTTTCATTTCATTAAATAAATAAAATCAGTCTGAATTTACGTGTATCAATTACTTGTCGAAAAAACCAAGTGTGTAAAGCTAAATCTCAACAAATCCTTATTACCGTCTCAGCATAACGAGTGTATATAACTAAAATTTTATCGTATTAATGCCTGTCTTTAATATTGTTTCTCTGACGATTTATAGCCTGCACAAGAGTTGCGGATAATGAACTTAAAACATCATATCAAAGAAAGATATAGCAAGTGTATTTTGAAAATCTAATATGTGTAATCAATAAAACATATACGTAGTAACATGTACTTCAAGACATTAATAGAATTTCTGAATTAAAAGATATACGTTAAAAACGTTTCTTTGTTTATTATTCAATGATTCACTATATCGTGTTATTCACTAAAACCGACTAAACATTTTGAAAAATAAATAGAAAATTCTTTTTTATATATTCTTGTAAGTTGTTGTGCTGTCTAACATTTCAAATTATTGAAATCATATATCAGGACAATCAGAATCAATACCTATACTTTACTTATATTACATTTTAATGACTTTAAATGTACGTATATACATACATATAAATAGAACTTGAAATCTGATTGAATACATCATCGTTTCAAATCTTTAGGGAAACCCATTTGCGAAGCAATGTACACGTTAGTCTAACTTTCTTACATTTAAAATATTGTCAATTAATATTTAATTTACACTTTCTTCTATAAGTTTTATAGTATTTTAAGTTCAATTCTTGATTTGCAAAATTAATATTTTTTATGTTGTACAAATATATTAAATCACTTATGAATTTTAGTACATACATGAACATTTTAACAGTTTCCAGTTTTTGAAGTTGATTCTTGTAAGTTCCTTGCTGTCTGAAGCGAATGCAGGAGCAGGCACAAAAGATTTCCTACAGAAATTCAATACTTATAATGAAGTATGTCGTGGAATGGGCTTCAAAGGAAATAACTGTAAGGGACACGAAAGAGGTAACATACTTGTCAATAAACAAAATGATGAGCAGGCACGTATCATCAGGGAGGGGGGGGGGCTCACTTTTTTGCAAACATTACTTTTATACAATAGAAGATGTTCATTGAGGACTGGTCCCCCTAATATTTTGTTTTTAACTTGTAAATAAACTGCATAATCTTTAACTTAAGCATATTTTTTTTCCTAAAGCAATAATTTCGTTTCATGCCCGAATGGCAACTGATCTGCAGAACCTCGGGAATAACGTCGTAGTGGTATTTGGAAAAGTAACAGAAAATTCTGGATCCGCCTATAATGGTTTGACAGGGGAATTCACGGCACCTCGGGACGGGGTCTACTCATTTACATGGACCGTTCTGACAAAACCTGACAAGAAATTTGTCACAAATATTGTTCTCAATGATACAAGTAATGTCGTTGGATTCAACTTTGTCCACGGAAATAGTGGGAGTCAAACTTATTCAACAGGATCTGCCACAACAATTATAAAAATGAAGAAGAATGACAAGGTCTGGATAAGAACAAGGGGAAAAGATGGGGAATTCGCTTATGCTGATTGGTCCTCGTTTTCTGGTTTTATTTTGTCATGACTTGTAACGGAACGATAATAAAAATGATTTGAATTTGTAGAAGTGTCTTTTGTATGGCGAATGTCTTGATGAATCTATTGTTTCTGACATTAGTAAATTTAATCCACCAGAATGCAGAGATCAACATGAATAGATTTATTGAATATTTTAAAAATTCCCCAGCAGCATGTTTTTTTTAAACCTAAATTGAGAAAAGTGAGGTTAAGGCCAAAGGAAAGGTCAACTTTAAGACCGACAAAATGTAAGCGTACGTTTTTAATTTAGTACGCGTTGGTTTTTCCTGTCTTATCATTAACAGTCGAAATCCACTCGTACACGTTTAATTTAAACAAACTATTTCCCTGTAGTAGGATATTAAGACTCAAAGATACATCTAATGCCTTTTTCATTCGATTGAATTATATAATTATGATATATAAATCTTTAATTATACGTTGATCGGACATGTGAAAGGGTCATGCGAGTGCATTTTATGCTTTAAAAAATATTGCATACCTAAATTGTTTTTACATGATCTGTCAAAATAATACTAAAAATATTGTTGACGAGATTTTGTGCCGATATAAAAAGTTTAAACACTGCAGTGCCATCAAAAGAAACCAGAAGTTCCCTTTATTCAAATTAGGGGTGCATTTAATTTGTGCAGATGTATTCATCCAGTGATTTTTCATGCTATATGTACAGGTATTTTTGACGATTTATTTCCTGCAGGATTTCTTGATTCGGAACATTGGGGTAGGAATCGAAGGGGGGGGGGGGGGGGGGTGCTTGCCAATAATTCTACCAAAATATACATAATACTATACTTTGTGCACGTTTAACAAACCGTTTATTTTTCTAAAAATACGATGAATTGGTGCTTTTTTAAGCTTTTTAATAACGGTCTATAAAATCAATGACAGTTTTAATTGACAAAAAATCGTTAATAATAGTAGAAGAGGCCCATGGGGCACGTCAATGTGGCTAAGAAGAAAGCAGAAATCAGTTCAGTAAGTAAGTAAATTTTATTTAAAGTGGGCATTGTATGCATTACATAACAAGAAACATGAGCTCTCAATAAAACCAAAATAAAGTTTAAAAATGTTTCAGAAGAAATATTTCTGTTCAACTGAATATACAGTTTTATATAAGAGATCCTTATTGTACAGGACGACAATAATTTAATTTTGCTTCCATCAAAGCTTATAGAAAGTTCCTCCATAGCAAATATGAACAACAGAGGTATATAAATGTTCTATATTTCTGTCATTGAAATAGTTAGTCACAAATTTGCAACATTTTTACGATGTCAAACATACAGTTCATATTACTTTGAATTATCTTTTTTTTTTGTAAATTATCGGGGGCCAGATTTGGACGTTTAAACGATCCATTCTTTCATAAATATAAGCAGTCACATTTTAATTATATAAATATATATGAAAAATGTGCCTGTGTTACTGTAGATTCCTTATTATATGCAAGGTCAGAATTATTGCGTTATTTAGCGAGATGCATCAATCACGCAATACAATTATTTGCTTTAATTTATATATTTCAGAAATCCATGTAAAATCTCTGGATCAACCCTTTACTTGCGAAATATTGTTATCGTGATTTGATGTCTAAAGACCATTCCACGATATTAAGAACTCGTGTAAAATAAGGAATCTACTGTTTACACACATATCAATCGATATACTATCTTCAGTCATTTGATATCAATTCTATTGCACATTATACAATTAATTACTATTCATCAGGTCAACATGGTAAAATGAGGTCCCTTGACCATTTCCACTCGGTGACCTGACCTGACCTCGGCCGTTGGCCTCGGTCAGGTCAGGTCACCCAGTGGACCTGGTCGAGGGACCTCATTTTACCATGTTGACCTGATGAAGAGTAATTAATTGTTTTATTATACAGATATAAACAGAAGCAAAATATATATGCATTAAACTTTATTTTGTATAACAAGACAAAAAATGTTGTAACATAAACAAAAGAAACAATTCTAATACTCCAGTATTTTATGCCGGTAAATTGTCTAAACATTTTGATTTTAACATATGAATTCATACAAGAGAAATTCATTTTTTAAGCTTTGTCATTCAGATGATAGTGGATATTAACCTGATTGACATGAGAAAATAATGGCCCACAGGAAGGGATGCTTGGCACTCTGCGTGAGGAAATACCAGAGTTATCTCGAATAGCCCTTTTTTTCCTTTTCTGACTCAGGAAACTCGTTAAAAATTTCAGAAACTAACTGAACATTATCCAGCTGCTGAACTTCATAATTTGAAATATTAGAGAAATTGAAATTCAAATTTTGAGCACTTTCTTCAGAGCCATGAGCCGTTGATGTTGTATTGACAACACTCTGTAAAACACTGCACATTTCATGCTTTTTCTCATCAGACACATTTCTAGAATAATTTTTGATCGAGTTTTCATTTCTGTGGTCACTTATAGACATTATATGACGAGCTTCAACACCTTTTTGATCCAATGTGGTTATGAAGGTGGCGCGGATAGAGTGATTTGTATAGGTGTGCGACAGTTGAGCTTTTAGTGACATGGTTTTCATGAAACTCCCCAGTGTGTTATGCCCAACTGGAATGTTATCATATCACACAATATCATGGTCCTTAAACTTCTTCTTTGGTCTCTGCCAAAAGCAGTCGCAGCTTTCATTCAGTTTAACTAGATATTTCTCTAAGCTTAAAACTGGGCATTTTGACATTCCTGTATAAATAAAAATCAGAAATACAAAACATGTAACTTAAAATTGTCTATCTTGATAATTTCCTAGGAATATTTCAGATTTCTATTTTTTATTTAAATAAAACTATAGAATGATATACAATACCTGTCATTTCATATATTCTGCAACTAGAGGAATCATCATCATCAACATCTGCGCCCCTGTGATTTTTAGTCTCATATTTGGCAATGTTTATGTAATATCGCCTGCCATGGGAATCAGTTTTAAGAACGAAGTCCGGTTTCTTCATACATCTTAGGTTTTCACACCCTCTACAACACGAATAGAACATAATGTCCAGGAACACTTTATACTGTAATCCCCGTGGTTTAGTCATATTAACGGTTCCCGATGTGTATAGAGCTTTTCAAAATCTGCAGCGCTTATCACTTCTTTATGCTGTGCGGTTCCCTTTCCTGATCTTTTTATCTCAATCAACACAGCGTTAAACATTTCGTTCGCCAAACGAAAGTTTGCATCGTTAACAATATCAAACTTTCTATGTGTCAAAAAATGTCTTTGTACACCGAATCTTATACTTATCATTGACGTTCTCGAATATAGATCCCCGTTCTTCTTCCTTATTTCGGCATAAAAACTTACAAGAAACATATATTGACGCAAGCGTCAAAAATCGGCCGCAAACCAATTAATTGTTCCATTGATATTAAGTAATTAGAAAATGAAATTTGCGTGACCTGTTTTTAAAAATTTTATATTTATCTATTAAAATATCCTCGTGACATGAAACACTTGCATGCGACATTGCCGATTTTCTTCATGCATAATGCATGTACAATATTATATGTATGGCACGCCAAATTCCCAAAAATGAGATAATCATAGTTTCACAATCGATAAACTAGGTTTATCGGTAGTAAACTATAGTTTACGAACCGTAAACTATAGTTAACAACGTTAATCTATATTTCACATCTGTATACCATAGTTAACGCGATAATCTATGTTTCACAACCGTAAACTATAACACCGAAAACAATCATTTGCGATTGCAAAACATAGATTTTCTGATAAATACAGTTTCACGATTTGTAAACTATAGTTTACAAACCGTTAACTATAGTTAACGATCTGATAAATATAGTTTCACGATTTGTGAAACTATGATTAACAACACTTATCTACAGTTAGCGATTGTAAATTATAGTTTACAGACGTGAATCTATGATTATCAACAAAATCTATTGTTAACGTTTCATTACAGACAGATAAACTTAGATTATCATTCGTAAACTATAGTTAACAACCGTTAAAAGTATACACGCTATAACTTGCGCCAGTTAAAATACGGTTGGAAATTGATATCATTTGTTTATCAATAAAAGTTACGAAAATGCTGTAAATTACACCATTAAGATTAAACGCGTTACAAAGTTATCAAATTATAATTATTTATTTTCCTGCAAGGAAAGAAAAATAGCTATTTTTAAATAAATCCATCACGTGACGCCGTCGCTACTTTTAGATTGATAAACACGCGTGGCGTAAAGAAAACAAGGTAGGCCGTTTGAGATACTACTCACTTTTGACGTGGATGGCAAGCGTTTTACTCTTAATGGTACTTATCTTTTAATGTATTCAGTATCAACCATCTTCTCTGTTTTGGCGCATATTGTCCTTAATATTAATAACTGTTGTCAAAATGCAACATACCTCGTTGTCTGTGATTTCCCGTGGACATGTGTTTCTATATATAGGCCTACTGTTTACGCACTTCCTTCATCAATATTCATGAAAAGACTGAATTCTTTATTCCTAGATATGGTTTAATTGTTTTGTTATTACAACGACATCTATAGTACAGTTTTGTGGAAAGTATTATTTTTCATTACACTTCATGTGTTTTAAATCATTAATCATTTTGTTTCACACAAAATTCCGCGTTCATACAGCGTATATGACTTTAAATATAGTTTTACAGATGAAAACTATACTTAACGAATCGTTAACTATAGTTAACGAATCGTTACCTATAGTTTACGGTTTGTAAACTATAATTTACAGTCGATAAACTTGGTTTATCAATTGTGAAACTATGATTATCTCATTTTTGTGAATTTGGCGTGCCATATATATGTATTAGTAAACTGTCCGTAGACCTCTGCGTCGGTACTTAAATTGTAAACGAACCACTCTGGTGGAAGTTTGATGTTTAAGTAGTTTTTACATAAAAGTACAGAACAAAAATTTTAAACTAAGCTTTAGTTTTACTTTAATAAAAACGCAACAAATA